GGCAGCTGGTTCAGTTCCTGCTATCTTAATAACTTTCCTCTCTTTGATGTCTTGATCACATCTTTTGAACAACACGCTTGAAGAGTAACACTGCAGAGAACACGTATTTTCATAATGAAAGGGAAATATTTTGCTCTATGCATAATATTTAGCTATCCTGATAGGCTGCATTGATAGGGCTTCATATATTTTGTTTTCAAGCTAATGCTGAGTTTAAAAGAGGCCTGCAGGGTAGTGCAGGACTTCTATCTAAATGATAAATATGTAATCGGTGTATGTGTCTAGCATCCTTTAAAGTGATATCAAATGGTTTCTAATAAGATACAAGCACCCAAAACTTTCTTGTCCTAAAGGCATAAAAAGGAAGTTCACTTGTTTCCCGTTTTAGTTTTAAAAGTTAGAATTTCTAGGCCATATGAAAATGACATTAAACCTTTGCACAGCATGACAACATATCTACTGTTGTACAACACACACAATCAAAAACTCTCTCCACTTCCCACAGACACCAGAGACTGCCAAAAATCTGGGGCAAGCAGAGTTTTGAAAGCTTCTGATAAAAGAACGGGGTTTTGTGAGAGTTGTAGGGATCTATAGAAAATATATTTGTGTTCTGCTTTGCACTGTGCTATAGGAAAAGCTGGAGGATGACCCAGCTACATGTACACAGCACCAAATTCCTCGAGAGGCAGCTGGCCATGCGTGCTGGGATGGCAGCTCTCTATGGCTGCCTGCAGTTAGGAGCTCTCTTCTTGATAAATGGGCCACATTCAAGACGGGCTGCGATTAATCATTAAATCATAATCTGAAGTCAATGAGGATATCCCCATCGGGCTGCACACCAGAGTAAGGGTAGTGAATAATGGAGAGGAACTTGCTAAAAGGATATTCAGAGACAGGAAAAACGTCTCCAAAACATTTATGACCTGGGCAGAAAGTTCAGAGCTATGGCAAACACTCAGCCTTTGCTCTAATTCTCCACATACAAGCTGAGTCTTGATATTACAGGTTACATTCAATCTATCTAAACAAAACCTAGCTGCGGAGGAGTGACTTCAGGATGCAGACTTTATTTTAACCATAACACCCATTTCCTCACTCTTTTCACTTTAAACCAGATGTTATTACATTTGCGTGTGTGACATTTACACTTAACAATGCAGACTCTGGTTAGATTTGCTGAAACAGGGAACAAAACCATGATTAAACTACTTCCTATATGCAAAGGCCCTTTGAACATCGTGTGTGTCGGAGACTGGTGAGTCGGAGGCACAACCACTGCCCAGCTGAGGTCAGATGCTTTGAGCTGCAGCTGAACAGATGTAGGAGGCAGCTGGCCGCCACTCACCATCACCCATGGCTGCCCCTTCTTTCCAGTAGTTACCACCACCTCACATCTGCCAGAAGGACCAGGTGTGCTGTCCCTTGAAAATCCAGATGAGAAAAATCCTATTAGGAAATGGGCTCTAGTTAATCACTGCTGTTTTGGGAGAAGGGAGGGTGCCAGGGATCAAATCTGTGGGAAGATGTGACCTCTGGCCAGGAGCAGCTGGATGTGATGACACTTTACCTCAGCACAGGATAGCATCCCTGAGCACAGCCCCAGGCTTCCACTGACCAACATAAAAACTCTTCCAAAAAAGGATATAATTTTTGAGGTTTTTTGCTCCCTGACTTGGCCAACTGTAGTTTCAGAGAAGTGCCAAGACAAAGAGGGTGCAGGGAAGAGGACCAGGGCTGCTTTCAGTAGCAGCTGGCTCTGGCTCAGCAGCACTGTCACCCTACACAGCAGGAACCTGACTGGCTCTGGGACCCAGACCCATCTGGTCCTCTGGCAGAATCTGCATGGGGTATTAGAAAAGAGACACATACCATGCTTCTAGATACACAGAAAAACCTGAAGTCATTCACACCAGCAACACATGTGAAAGCACAGGGAAATACACCTTTTTGAGCACCCCGGCTGGCTCTGAAGAAATGCAGATTTAATTGTGATTGAACTAGAACAACAAAATTAAGAGGTTAAAATGCATCAGCGGCACTGAGGCTGGAATCAGGACCCTTGGAGCAATCCTATCCAGGTCAGAGACTTGTCTGAAACAAGTCAAGGAGGAGTGGGACAAAGGGAACAGCCTACAACACCCATGAATGTGCAGAGGAGGTCCTTCACAGCCATTGCTTCGGTGCTGCAATGCAGGGGGCCCTTGCTGGGCACGTTACAGCCTTACACAGGGGCAGGGCAAGATCTCTGTCCTGCACTCTATTCACCAGTCCACCTGAGCTCTATTAGCAACCAGCAAGCTTTGGACATGCCTAGAGACAGCTAAGACTGTAGCTGTCTCTAGCCACCCTAGCAAAATTTTGGACCCATTTCTACCCACATCCATTCGATAGTTTATTCCTTGCCCTTGTATTTGCATTCCTGCAGATCAGCTTCCAAAATCTGCTCACTTTCATCTTCAAAAAAACTGTCTATCCCATTTAAGAATGTTGCAGAGACAGACCCAGGCTGAGGACAGCCCAAAAGCCAGCCCAGGTTCCTGCCCCAGTGACACTGGCCTCCCATGCTCTACTTGTCCTTTCTCCAGTGAGCTCGAAGGACTGGGACCAGCATTAACACACACCAGCTGAGACAGTGGGAGGCAGGGGAGGGTAGTGCCTGGGTGTGAGCAACACTCATCCTGCTCTTAGAGGAATGGTGGTAAGACAAGGTCACTACCCTTTGCAGTCCTCTCAGGGAGCAGAAGAGACACACAGGTACCTTGGCCACAGTTTGATCCTCTAATTTAGCGCTGCACAGAGGAGAACTCTATCCAGCCAGCCTCCAAAAATAAAAATAGACTGAATTTTGCTGCTGGGACACACCCCAACACTCACAGAGCCAGCAAGGGGCTTTTCTCTGCCTCAGTGCTGTTCCTTGACAGCTGAGCTGCCAAGGAGTCAGGATGGGCTGAAGGAGCCATCACAGCTGCAGAACCAGCTGAGAGAGCCCAGGAGAAACCAAGACAGGGCATTCTACAAAAATTTATGAAACAGTTGCTCCAACAACTTTAGTTTCTTGCCCCCTACATATACATCTCTTCCCCAGCACCAGGCAGCCCATGTCATTTTTATCAGCATCAGTTTGTGCCACCTGGGGAACACTAAGCATGCATCTGAATTCTGCTTTTAAAATTCATGTTTATCAGAAAATTACACTTCTAGTGAGCTAACATTCTATTTCACTAGAGAAGAGGAATTTTAGAGCATTCTTTGAAATATTACTGTATCCCTAAATAAAACTGAAAAGAGACATTTGGTGTGTTGAAAATTCGGCCAATTTTCGGCAACAGTAATGATAACAGTATTTATATCCTGTTCCTCCTCCTTCCAGCATGAAGGAAAGCTCTTCAGTCTAAGAGGGCAGCAACAAACACAGGATAATAAAACCACAGATTGTTGAAATACAAACACAAATAAAATTAGAAGTTGCAATTTGAGATAAGGAGGCATCTCAAGCTGTAATAACAGACTCTTCTGCTGGCAAATCTGTAGCACTCCATGTCCAGAATCATCATTAGCATGGTCCTTTACAAAGATCAATTAAACCAGGGCAGAAATTAAAAGACCTCCCCAAGAAAACCCAGTAAAGCAGCAGAACTTGTAAAAGAGATCTTTGATTCACCCTCAATTCACCAGATGAATCATTTCATGTTGAACAAACACCAAACCACACTGAAGAGATGCAACCAAAAGCTCCCAATCCCTGAAGCCATTTCAGATGGCTCACTAAATCATGCAACAGACACATTACCAAAGTGCTATGATTTGCCTTATTACATGCATTAGTTAATTCATGGCAACTTTGCATAAACCTTGACCTATACTGCAAAACAATTTGACACAGTTTAGCTGCAAAGAAAGCAAGTTTGGCCCACCATGTGTTTGAGCAGACTGTGAGTTTGCAGCAGGGTGAGCACCCCACTACTCATGCACTGTTACTTATTAAGTTGCAGTAAACTGCCCATGCAATTTAAACCAAGATCAAAGGAAGACCAAATCCTGCTCCTATAATTTTGGCAATAGCATCTCTTTGCAAGATCAGTGTTGAGCATGTGGAGTCAAAAATCACTGTTCCAGCTCACTGCTCAAGCATGAGGAATCTCCATTCCTCTGCCCAGCAAACCCCCATGGACACAAGCAGGAATCCAGATGCAGCAGAGCTAATTAGCAAGAGTCAATTGGGTTTCTTCTGCAGCTGCACCCTCCCCATGCAAAAGATCTAAGCAATTATTGAAAAATCACCTGGGAAAAAAAGACCACAGAGAACAGTTTTGCAATAAATATTCATAATTTTAACCCTCTTTGTATAATCTTAAAGTATTACAGTAACAACAAGCCTAGCAATTATTTTATAGCCAGAGCTACACTGCTGAATGCTCTTTTCTAAAGTAACTGACAGCTGGTGGCAATCCCCCCAACCCAACTCCTCCTGCTAATATCCATCTGCAAATGGTGTAACATCACCTCAGGAAATGGCCCCAGTATCTCAGGCACCTTATCATTAATGCTGTCCCACCTGCTTTACACTTTGTTTCCATGCCTCCATGGGCACAACATCTCTGGGGTGGCTGGAGAGGGAGCCAGGCATCAGCTGTCTGATCCAGGTGCTTGTAATTGCATCTGATACAACACGGCTCATTTTACAGTGAAAGGTCCCAACTGTGTGGCTGCCCAGGAGATGTCTTGTCTTATGACTGGTCAGTTGGGAGCACTGTCCCCAGTCCCTCAGGCTAGCAGCTGAAATGATGTGCTCCTCTAACATGTTCAGCAATAACCTAAAATAACCTAAGAGATAACTAAAGATAATCCTTGTTCTCACCCCAGAACATATTTGGACAGTCAGAGCAGGGCTGGGAAACCAGGGTCACACCTGATACTCAAGACTAGCAGAAGGGATGTTGGGCTGGCCAGCCCAAAACCTCCCAGAACAGTCCAGTTTCCAACACACAGGTACTCACCACCTCCTGAAAAAACAGATCTCAAACAGGCTTCCCAAAACTCCAAGCAAATCCCAAATCCGCTCTCTCAGGGCCACTCTTCGCTAATTTCACCACTGATCTGCTCCACAACAACAGGAAAGTTGTGCCATGTCTCCCATCTTGCAGGCAAAAAAAGCCTAAGACAGATCTGTACCATTTTCCTTGCAGGGCTGCACAGAGGTTTCACCAGCTGTGTATGAATTTTCCATGAGCCTCAGAGAAGCAATGAGCTGGAAGCACAAATCATCACCACGCTCTTGCTAGTAGTCAGTCCCAGTTCCTCCCTAACAGGCATTTTTTAGCTTCTCTACGCATGAACCCTTTACACAGAAGTTTTACAAAGGGGCTGCTACCAAACCCAGCACAAACATCTTGCTCCATCCAGAAAGGTGGCTTGCAACCTTCTTGTTTTACCTTTAGCAAATTGCATTTAAGACTCGTAACCGTTTCCCTCTTGATCTCCCACACTGCTACCTATTTCTGACACTTTCACAGTAAGTACATGCTCCAAGGTGCTTCTGTAGTTTCAGTAAAGCTTGTAGAAGTGCAGAGATATCAAATGTAATTTTAACAAGTGGTCTCTGCACATTTTTCATCCACTGAACAGTGAATTTAAGCCTAAAAAGGTAAAACCTACTCTAGTTATGACTTTTACCAGTTCTTCTGAAACAGGCCACGTCTCAGTGTGAAAACTATTGCCTTAAAACATAAGGCACTGTATTCCACTCTTGGGTCTCCCAAAGAATTCAGCTTCTAAGACAGAGTTAAACATCTAAAGAGCAAGTAAGTCTCAGCCTGCTTTGATGAAGTAAGTTGCAGCCATCCCAAAGCCTTCTTAGTTCACTGATAACAACTTAGTCCTCCAAGATGTATAAAAACTGGCACTGAGCATACCAGTGAAGACACTGAACAAGACACTGAACAATCTTCATGTCATGTCCTAGGAATGTTCCCCAGCAAAGAAGGATGGAGAGACACCAGCCAGGAGGATAGCTGGCCAAATGCCCAGGGTCAAGGATAGCTTTGGAAGAGCAACTCATTATTTTGGAACAGAGTCAGCACCCAGCTTTGTAAAGGGGACAACTTCAAGCAATGATGATTTTAATGGCAGCAGATCTGTAACTGCACTACTCAGACTCATGGGGATTGAAATCCCAGGGGCTGATATGGCCTCTTCCTTACCCCAAAGACAAATGCCAAAAACATTAAAAAAAAAAAAAAAAAGCAGATAGGGAAGCTGAAAAGAGAGTGCATTTGTCGGAAACATCCCAGAATCAGTTTGAGATCATCAGCATCACAAACCAAGCCACAAAGCAGTTTGCTGATAACTGCCCAGCTATCTTCACTGATACACGTGTGATGTGGCATGTCATTTCTGTGCCTGCCAACACTACAAGCTCCAAATGTGACCCTGGCTCTCTTCCCCAAGCACTGAGAAACTCTTGTTATGTTTGGCTCCCCCCTTGTCCTCCCTTCACAAAAACAGCACGCTTCCACAACATCAATCTGGAATTATTTACTGTTGTCGAAGCTCAGACAGAAACCACAAGCCACCTCTCCTCTCACCCAGACGGGATGCACAGAGGTTGCCCAAACAAAAGGGCTTCACCCAAGCTCTCTAGGAATCCTGCCAAGCATCTCATCGGGCAAGTTGCTGCCCGCTAAAATGATGCCCTTCATCTCTCCCGCTCTGTTCCCAAGACCTGCTAAAAACTAGTTTATCTGTGCTTTCAGAACATTAAGTAGACACCATCTGCTTAAAATTACCCTCATTAAAGCTAACGTGGGAATATAATCAGTGATGTTTTCTCTTCTCTGCTTTTGCAAGTGGAGTGTCACTTGCAAGGTTTTGGGACTTGCTCTGAAATTCCCTGAAGAGAAGAAAATGAAACCATGAAGGAACCACAAGTTTCTCTCCAAAACCCATTCTCTGTCATGCTGACACAGCACACAGCTCAGGGACAGGGCAGACCCAGGTGCTAGTCTCCTCCAAATCACACCTGACTACATCTGGAAAATCAACCAACTGAGGTCAAACCTATTCCCAGGCAGCTGCATGTAATGGGCATGGGCAAGGCTGTACCCAGCAGCAAATTAACCCAATACGTGCTTGAAGCTGCCCAGGCTGAATTGTTGTCAGTGCCTAGGCTAAACAGCTCACTTGTATTGTCTGCAATGACTGCAAGAAGTGTGAAGCAGGGAAACCTGTTTGCTATGCACCTTTGAGGGTGGCCTTTTCTACAAGAGGAGGCTAGAGCAGCTCAGCAGAATGCAGGCTAAGAAGGGACACAATCACTCTCTACAAAATAGTGGAGAGAACTGGGACAGGAGATCAAACTAAAATGAGAGTTAAGAGACCTGTTTATGCAAAAGGCCAAAACTGGTGTGAAAACAAACAGGATGTTTGTGAATTAAAAAAAAAAAGTCTACACTGGAAGTCATTAACCATTAGAAGTCTGCAGCTTCCAATCAAGCTAACCCAACCACCCTGAAGGTTCATACGTGGGAATGCAATACATTTGCACACCATTAATGACCTAGGTCTGCCCAAGGCCTATGTTCTACAGTCCCATGGCCCACTCACAGTACTTTCAGCCATAAAGAAAAAACTTTTTTCCATCAGCCCAAATTATCCACTAGTCTGGTGATGGCTCTGAGAAAACACTTCTGCCAAGAGATGTATCGCTACAAACATAATGTTCTCCCTGTCTGATCTGCCTACCTTGGAAAGAGGTGCTGACACAGAGTGTTGGAGGATCCTGGATGAAAGGAATTAGATAAGTACAAAGCCTGAACATATATTAATAGTAATACCAGACATGGTATCTCTACACAGATAAATTTCCACTTGACCCAAGACTGGAAAGCAGAAAGCAGCCGAGGCGCAGATGGGTAACACTAGCCTATAAACATGTGATGGTGTGCAAAAAAAAAAGTGTATGGAGCAGAGGAGGGAGCTGGAAGTGATGATGGGAGGCTCACTTCCTCACAACATGCACTGTGCTTCCTAACCTCATCTGGTCAAGACTCAACAGCTCTCACTAATATTAGCAATATATAGCAAGCCTCAGAAGACTGAGCTAGTGCCATACAGTTAAGGGGCATCTGGGAAAGCATCAGAAGCCCTAGGCTCAGCCAAAATGAAGTTGTATCTAAGCTCAGCACTGTTTTTAATGAAGCTAGATAGTAACTGCTTGATAGGAACAGGGAGAACACAGTGTGCTTAGTCTTTAGCAATCACTAGATTACAGACTGACTCAACCACGTATCTTGACTGTTGTGTTTAATAGCAGTCACACTTGTGCTCAGAAATTTGTCAATACCTTTTTTGAATCATTTGTACTTTCAGCTTTCATATCACTTTTCAGCAAGGTGTTGCACAGCTTAATTACGTAGTGGAGAAAAAACATTTCATTTTATTCCACCTCATACCCAAGAATGTTGTCATTCCTGCACCATTGCCAAGAGGCTGAACCTGTTTCTCTCAACCATCTCTCCATGCCTGTATCAGAAGAATTCACGATCTGCATTCAAATAAGCATCCCTCTCTCCTTTTTCCTCTGCTTCTAGATTACTTCAGCTGATTTGGGATATCATTACTGACAGGTCTTAGTATGAGCAGGATTGGACTGTTGCCAGCCCCAGAAAGACTGACTAGAGCTAGGGATGGGAGTCTTGTCTGTTTAATCTTTTAAGCAGATTAGCTCCCAACTACTGAAGGTAACTTTATAAATCTTAACTTTCATATGCTTCGCAGAGACAGTTGGAAATAACTCTAGAAGCAAAACAAGGAACAATAGTTACAACATTATAAATGGCTTTATTTTATCTGTGGGGAAGTTTTTTTTCTGAAAGCTAAGGAAGTTAATTTATTATATTAGCAATTTGACAACTTGTCTTTTGAATGGAAACTCAGCTATTGTGTTTTGCAAGAAACAGGAGCTAGCATGGGTGTGGTATCACCCCTGGCTATGGCTTGGCTATTATTTTATCAAACAGCAGCAAGGCTGGATGGCAAACCCCTTCACCTTGTTTTGCATGCAGAAACTCATGAATCCAAGAGTCTGTCTTGGCTAAAACGTCACCAGAAGATGAAGCTTTACAAACCAGGGGATCTTTGCTAAATAAGAACAAAAGCCAGATCTGAGACAAATAGGTTGGAATGTGTAAGCTGGAACTGCTAGATCCTACACATTTCCCATAAAGCATCCGTAGGCTTTTGATGGACACAGAGACCAGAACACAGGCAACACTGGGAAGAAAGAGCCTGGGAACTCAGATAAAGCCCCAAAGTGAATGGACATTTGCTGATGACAGCACTGTAAAGTTGGCTTTGGTGCTTGGCTCCTGGTAAAACAATGACATAATGCTGTGTTTACTAGCAGGGAAATCTGAGGGTTGGAAACAGGTCTGTAAAAAAGCCACTAACAGGTTTTTCTGACAAGCCAATAGATTAACATCTATTGTCACTGGGGCAAGGCCAAACTCAGCTGGAAAACGTCCAGGAGTTTGATGTCACTGAGAGGCTCACAAGGACGTCAGCTAAAGAGCACTCCCATGTCATCTCTGCATTTACTGCTGTGTTACTGCTTAAAGCAAGCTACTAGCCACCATGCCCTTCTGTTTAACTCTTTCTGTCATAACATACAGTTAAGACAACATGTTGGCCTTTTGGCAATAGGGGTTTGACCCAGATCTGCTACAGCTCATGTTAACCAGACTGATAAAGGACCAGGCAGAACAAGGTGCTGGCAAATAAAACACATATTCAATCAGGTTTAGACTGTCAGTCCCGTGCTAGTACTAAGTCTCTACTTTTCTACAAATAGAAACAGTGTGCATCATTTCCTCATTTGATTTCTTAGGATGTTTTCAAGTCCCCCATGATCCAAATCACATGGCCAGTTGCACCCTCACCTTCATCTGAGTAAAAGTTTTTATCATAACCCGCTGAACACCTCTCACACACAGCAAGGCAATGGCCAAGAAGTTTCAGCTCCTCACAAACAAAATCCCAACACAAGGACACCT